TGAGTGGGTGAGTGGGTGAGTGAGTGAGTGAGTGGGTGGGTGGGTGAGTGAGTGGGTGAGTGAGTGAGTGGGTGAGTGGGTGAGTGAGTGGGTGAGTGGGTGGGTGAGTGGGTGAGTGAGTGAGTGAATGGGTGAGTGGGTGAGTGAGTGGGTGAGTGAGTGAGTGGGTGAGCAAGTGGATGAGTGAGTGGGTGGGTGGGTGAGTGAGTGAGTGGGGTGAGTGGGGTGGGTGGGTGAGTGAGTGGGTGAGTGGGTGGGTGAGTGGGTGAGTGAGTGAGTGGGTGAGTGGGTGAGTGGGTGAGTGAGTGGTTGAGTGAGTGAGTGGGTGAGCAAGTGGGTGAGTGAGTGGGTGGGTGGGTGAGTGAGTGAGTGAGTGGGGTGAGTGGGGTGGGTGGGTGAGTGAGTGAGTGAGTGGGTGAGTGAGTGAGTGGGTGAGTGAGTGAGTGGGTGAGTGAGTGAGTGGGTGAGTGAGTGGGTGGGTGGGTCAGTGAGTGAGTGAATGGATGAGTGAGTGAGTGGGTGAGTGAGTGAGTGGGTGAGTGAGTGGGTGAGTGAGTGAGTGGGTGAGTGAGTGAGTGAGTGGGTGAGTGAGTGAGTGAGTGGGTGAGTGAGTGGGTGAGTGGGTGAGTGAGTGGATGAGTGAGTTGGTGAGTGAGTGAGTGAGTGGGTGAGTGAGTGAGTGGGTGAGTGAGTGGGTGAGTGAGTGAGTGAGTGATTCGGTGAGTGGGTGAGTGAGTGGGTGAGTGGGTGAGTGAGTGGGTGAGTGAGTGAATAAGTGAGTGGGTGAGTGAGTGAGTGGGTGAGTAAGTGAGTGGGTGAGTGAGTGAGTGAGTTGGTGAATGTGTGAGTGAGTGAGTGGGTGAGTGAGTGAGTGGGTGAGTGAGTTGGTGAGTGAGTGAGTGGGTGAGTGAGTGAGTGGGTGAGTGAGTGAGTTGGTGAGTGAGTGAGTGAGTGTGTGAGTGGGTGAGTGAGTGAGTGAGTGGGTCAGTGAGTGAGTGAGTGGGTGAGTGAGTGAGTGGGTGAGTGAGTGAGTGGGTCAGTGAGTGGGTGAGTGAGTGGGTGAGTGAGTGGGTGAGTGGGTGGGTCAGTGAGTGAGTGAGTGGGTGAGTGAGTGGGTGAGTGAGTGAGTGAGTGGGTGAGTGAGTGGGTGAGTGAGTGAGTGAGTGGGTGAGTGAGTGAGTGGGTGAGTGAGTGGGTGAGTGAGTGAGTGAGTGGGTGAGTGAGTGGGTGAGTGGGTGGGTCAGTGAGTGAGTGAGTGAGTGGGTGAGTGAGTGAGTGGGTGAGTGAGTGAGTGAGTGGGTGAGTGAGTGGGTGAGTGAGTGAGTGAGTGTGTGAGTGAGTGAGTGGGTGAGTGAGTGAGTGGGTCAGTGAGTGAGTGAGTGGGTGAGTGAGTGAGTGGGTGAGTGAGTGAGTGGGTCAGTGAGTGGGTGAGTGGGTGAGTGAGTGGGTGAGTGGGTGGGTCAGTGAGTGAGTGAGTGGGTGAGTGAGTGAGTGGGTGAGTGAGTGAGTGGGTGAGTGAGTGGGTGAGTGAGTGAGTGAGTGGGTGAGTGAGTGAGTGAGTGGGTGAGTGAGTGGGTGAGTGAGTGAGTGGGTGAGTGAGTGAGTGAGTGGGTGAGTGAGTGGGTGAGTGAGTGAGTGAGTGGGTGAGTGAGTGGGTGAGTGAGTGGGTGAGTGGGTGAGTGAGTTGGTGAGTGAGTGAGTGAGTTGGTGAGTGAGTGAGTGAGTTGGTGAGTGAGTGAGTTGGTGAGTGAGTGAGTGAGTTGGTGAGTGAGTGAGTTGGTGAGTGAGTGAGTGACCCTTGCCCCACCAGTCCGTGTGATCTCCACGGGTTAACTTTGTCTGTGTGTGTGTCTGTGTGTGTGTCTGTGTGTGTGTCTGTCTGTGTGTGTGCCTCTGTGTGTCTGTGTCTCTGTGTCTCTGTGTGTCTGTATCTGTGTGTGTCTGTGTGTCTGTGTCTCTGTGTCTGTGTGTGTGTCTCTGTGTGTCTGTGTGTCTCTGTGTGTGTGTGTCTCTGTGTGTCTGTGTGTCTCTGTGTGTGTGTGTCTCTGTGTGTGTCTGTGTGTGTGTGTCTGTGTGTGTGTCTCTGTGTGTGTGTGTGTGTCTGTGTGTGTGTCTGTGTGTGTGTTTGTGTGTATGTGTGTGTGCTGTGTCTGTGTGTGTGTCTGTGTGTATGTGTGTATGTATGTGTGTCTGTGTGTATGTGTGTATGTATGTGTGTCTGTGTGTATGTGTGTATGTATGTGTGTCTGTGTGTGTGTCTGTGTGTCTGTGTGTGTGTCTGTGTGTGTGTCTGTATGTTTGTGTGTGTCTGTGTGTGTGTCTGTGTGTGTGTGTCTGTGTGTGTGTCTGTGTGTGTGTGTCTGTGTGTGTGTGTCTGTGTGTGTGTCTGTGTGTGTGTGTCTGTCTGTGTGTGTGCCTCTGTGTGTCTGTGTCTCTGTGTCTCTGTGCGTCTGTATCTGTGTGTGTCTGAGTGTCTGTGTCTGTGTCTCTGTGTCTGTGTGTGTGTCTCTGTGTGTCTGTGTGTCTCTGTGTGTGTGTGTCTCTGTGTGTCTGTGTCTCTGTGTGTGTGTGTCTCTGTGTGTGTCTGTGTGTGTGTGTCTCTGTGTGTGTCTGTGTGTGTGTGTCTGTGTGTGTGTCTCTGTGTGTCTGTGTGTGTGTCTCTGTGTGTGTGTGTGTCTGTGTGTGTGTCTGTGTGTGTGTTTGTGTGTATGTGTGTGTGCTGTGTCTGTGTGTGTGTCTGTGTGTATGTGTGTATGTATGTGTGTCTGTGTGTATGTATGTGTGTCTGTGTGTATGTGTGTATGTATGTGTGTCTGTGTGTGTGTCTGTGTGTCTGTGTGTGTGTCTGTGTGTGTGTCTGTATGTTTGTGTGTGTCTGTGTGTGTGTCTGTGTGTGTGTGTGTGTCTGTGTGTGTGTCTGTGTGTGTGTGTGTCTGTGTGTGTGTCTGTGTGTGTGTGTCTGTCTGTGTGTGTGCCTCTGTGTGTCTGTGTCTCTGTGTCTCTGTGCGTCTGTATCTGTGTGTGTCTGAGTGTCTGTGTCTGTGTCTCTGTGTCTGTGTGTGTGTCTCTGTGTGTCTCTGTGTGTGTGTGTCTCTGTGTGTCTGTGTCTCTGTGTGTGTGTGTCTCTGTGTGTGTCTGTGTGTGTGTGTCTGTGTGTGTGTCTGTGTGTGTTTGTGTGTATGTGTGTGTGCTGTGTCTGTGTGTGTGTGTCTGTGTGTGTGTCTGTGTGTGTGTCTGTGTGTGTTTGTGTGTATGTGTGTGTGCTGTGTCTGTGTGTGTGTCTGTGTGTATGTGTGTATGTATGTGTGTCTGTGTGTATGTGTGTATGTATGTGTGTCTGTGTGTGTGTCTGTGTGTATGTGTGTATGTGTATCTGTGTCTGTGTGTGTGTGGGAGCGATAGTGTAGCGGTTAGCGCTACACTGCGCTATGAACCTGGCGACCCGGGTTCGATTCCCGCTCACGGCCAACACCACCACGTGACGATTATCTGAACCGGTCCCGGGCCTCCCCTAGGTCGACTCAGCCTCAAATGAGTACCTGGTGCGGTGTGTAAACATCGCCACTGGGGAGACAAAGGCGGCCGGGCGTGGTGCTGGCCACCCACCCCCTCGTGTACCACAGTGCCGGTAGCCTTCATAGGCGGTGCTCGCTAGCAGCACTTGCCCCTGCAGCCTGTTAGAGGCTACACGGGGGATCTTTGTCTTGTGTGTTCGCTCGCTCTGTATCTGGAACTAATTATCCCCACAACCAAAAACAACAATCATGACGTAATGTCGTGGTGTGTGTGTGTGGGGAGCGGTGGTGCAGTGGTTAGCGCACTGTGTGTGTGTGTGGGGAGCGGTGGTGCAGTGGTTAGCGCACTGTGTGTGTGTGGGGAGCGGTGGTGCAGTGGTTAGCGCACTGTGTGTGTGTATGGGGAGTGGTGGTGCAGTGGTTAGCGCACTGGGTGTGAGTGGGGAGCGGTGGTGCAGTGGTTAGCGCACTGTGTGTGTGTGAGTGGGGAGTGGTGGTGCAATGGTTAGCGAACTGTGTGTGTATGGGGAGCGGTGGTGCAGTGGTTAGCTCACTGTGTGTGTGAGTGGGGAGCGGTGGTGCAGTGGTTAGCGCACTGTGTGTGTGTGGGGAGCGGTGGTGCAGTGGTTAGCGCACTGTGTGTGTGAGTGGGGAGTGGTGGTGCAGTGGTTAGCGCACTGTGTGTGAGTGGGGAGCGGTGGTGCAGTGGTTAGCTCACTGTGTGTGTGTGGGGAGCGGTGGTGCAGTGGTTAGCGCACTGTGACTATAAGTAGCACCTGGTGCGGTGTGCAGTGAACATCGCCACTGGGGAGACAAAGGCGGCCGGGCGTGGTGGTGCTGGCCACCCCCCCCCTCTGTGTGCCAGAGTGCCGGTAGCCTTCATCGGCGCTGCTGTTAGCTATCAGCACTTGCCCCTCTAGTCTGTTAGAGGCTACACGGGGGATCGTTGCTTTTTTGACAATCCATCTCACACCCCCCCACTCCCTCCCCTCCTCCTCCTCCTCCTCCTCCAACTAAACCACTCACCCACTCACTCACCCACCCACCCACTCACTCACCCACCCAATCATCCACTCACTCACCCACTCACCCACTCACTCACCCACTCACTCACCCACTCACTCACCCACTAACTCACCCACTCACTCACTCACCCACCCACCCACCCAATCATCCACTCACTCACCCACTCACCCACTCACTCACCCACTCACTCACTCACCCACTCACTCACCCACTCACGCACTCACCCACCGACTCACCCACTCACTCACTCACTCACCCACTCACTCACTCACCCACCCACTCACCCACTCACTCACTCACCCACTCACTCACTCACCCACCCACTCACCCACTCACCCACTCACTCACCCACTCACTCACTCACCGACCTACCCACCCACCCACTCACCCACTCACTCATCCACCCACCCACCCCACTCACTCCACCCACTCCACTAACCCCACCCACCCACCCCACTCACTCCACCAACCCACACGACGACTCTGAACACTCCACGCCAACTTCCCAGCCTGCAAAGTCGCTCACCGGCATCGAGAGGAGGTCGCGAATCGCCCGAGGTGAGGACTGCAGTCAGCTGCGCTGGACAGCGCAGCTGGGAACATCACCACCCACCCACACCACCCACCCACACCACCCACCCACACCACCCACCCACACCACCCACACCACCCACACCCACCCAGCCACACCACCCACACCAGCCACCAAAACCACCCAGCCACACCACCCAGCCACACCACTCAGCCTCCCACGCACACCCAGCCAGCAACCCAGCCACCCACCCACCAATCCACCCAGCCACCCACCCAGCTACCCACCCGCCCAGCCACCCACCAAATCATCGACCGAGCCACCCACCCACCCAGCCACCCACCCACCCACCAAACCACCCAACCAGCCACCCACCCACCCACCCAGTCACCCACCCACCCAGCCACCCACCCAGCCACCCACCCAGCCACCCACCCTCCCAGCCACCCACCCAGCCACCCACCCACCAGGCCACCCACCCACACCAGCCACCCACCCACCCAGCCACCCACCCAGTCACCCACCCACCCAGCCACCCACCCAGCCACCCACCCACCAGGCCACCCACCCAGCCACCCACCCAGCCACCCACCCACCAGGCCACCCACCAGGCCACCCACCCACCCAGCCACCCACCCAGCCAGGCTGTAAGGGGCAAGTGCTGTGGCCCGCAGCAGCAGCACCACGCCCGGCCGCCTTTGTCTCTCCCACAGTGGCGACGTGCACTGCACCACCACTCCCCACACACACACACACAGTGCGCTAACCACTGCACCACCGCTCCCCACTCACGCACACAGTGCGCTAACCACTGCACCACCACTCCCCACACTCACACACACAGTGCGCTAACCACTGCACCACCGCTCCCCACACACACACACAGTGCGCTAACCACTGCACCACCGCTCTCCACACACTCACACAGTGCGCTAACCACTGCACCACCGCTCCCCACACACACACACAGTGCGCTAACCACTGCACCACCGCTCCACACACACACAGTGCGCTAACCACTGCACCACCACTCCCCACACACACACACAGTGCGCTAACCACTGCACCACCGCTCCCTACACACACACAGAGCGCTAACCACTGCACCACCGCTCCCCCCACCCCCACAGTGCGCTAACCACTGCACCACCGCTCCCCACACACACACACAGTGCGCTAACCACTGCACCACCGCTCCCCACACACACACACAGTGCGCTAACCACTGCACCACCGCTCCCCACACTCACACACAGTGCCCTAATCACTGCACCACCGCTCTCCACACTCACACAGTGCGCTAACCACTGCACCACCACTCCCCACACACACACACAGTGCGCTAACCACTGCACCACCGCTCCCCCCACACACACACGGTGCGCTAACCACTGCACCACCGCTCCCCACACTAACATATAGGATGTTTGACACAATGGTCGTGATGATGATGGTGGTGAAAATGATCATGGTGATGGTGATGATGATGGTGATGATGGTGATGATGGTGGTGATGATGGTCATGATGATGCTGATGATGGTGATGATGGTGATGATGATGCTGATGATGGTGATGATGATGGTGATTATGATGCTGATGATGATGGTGATGATGATGGTGATGATGATGGTGATGATGGTGATGGTGATGATGGTGATGATGGTGATGATGGTGGTGATGATATATGGTGGTAATGATGATGGTGATGATGATGGTGAGGATGATGGTGGTGATGATGGTGATGATGATGGTGATGATGATCATGATGATGATGATGGTGATGATGCTGGTGATGATGATGGTGATCATAGTGGTGATGATGATGATGGTGATGATGATGGTGATGATGATGGTGATGATGACGGTGATGATGATGGTGATGATGGTGGTGGTGATGGTGATAATTCTGATGATGATGATGGTGATAATGATGGTGATGATGATGGTGATGATGATGGTGATGGTGATGATGATGGTGATGATGGTGATGATGGTGATGGTGATGATATATAGTGGTAATGATGATGGTGATGATGATGATGGTGAGGATGATGGTGATCATGGTGGTGATGATGACGGTGATGATTAATGTGATGATGGTGGTGATGATGGTGATGATGGTTATGATGATGGTGATAATGATGTTGATGGTGATGATGATGGCGATGATGGTGATGATGATGGTGATTATGGTGATGATGGTGGTGATGATGATGATGGCGATGATGGTGATGATGATGGTGATGATGATGATGGTGATGATGATAGTGATGATGATGGTAATGATGATGGTGATGATGGTGATGATGATGGTAGTAATGATGATGTATGGTGATGGTGGTGATGATGGTGATGATATGGTGATGATGGTGATGATGATGGTGATGATGATGGTGATGATGATGGTGATGATGATGGTGATGATGATGGTGATGATGATGGTGATAATGGTGGTGCTGATGGTGATGATGATGGTGGTGATGATGGTGATGATGGTGATGATGATGGTGATGATGATGGTGATGATGATGGTAATGATGATGGTGGTGATGATGATGGTGATGATGATTATGGTGATGATGGTGATGAGGGTGATGGTGATGATGATGATGGTGATGATGATGGTGATGGTGATGATGATGATGGTGATGATGATGAAGATGATGATGATGATGGTGATGATGATGTAATGATGATGATGGTGGTGATGTTACTTTCTCAGGAAATGAAAATGTGGATTAATGTACTGGTCATCTGCATTGTGGCCGGTAAAACATCACCAACATCACCATCATCACCATCACCACCATCAGCATCATCACCACCATCATCATCCTCACCACCACCATCACCATCATCACCACAATCATCACCATCATAACCATCATCATCATCACCATCACCACCATCATCACCATCACCAATATCACCATCATCATCACCATGATCACCATCATCATCACCATCATCATCACCATCATCATCTTCATCATCATCATCATCACCATCATCATCACCACCATCACCACCATCATCATCATCACCATCATCATCACCATCATCATCACCATGCCCACCATCACCATCGCCACCATCATCATCATCACCATCCCCACTATCACCATCATTATCACCACCACCATCACCACCATCACCATCACCACCATCATCACCGTCACCAACATCACCATCACCACCATCACCATCATAATCACCAACATCACCATCCCCACCATCACCATCACCATTCCCACCATCACCACCATCACCATCACCACCATTACCATCACCACCATCAACATCACCACCACCATCACCACCATCATCACCATCCCCACCATCACCATCATCATCACCACCATCACCATCACCATCCCCACCATCACAATCACCACCATCACCATCCCCACCATCACCATCACCACGACCATCACCATCATCATCACCATCATCACCACCATCACCACCATCACCATCATCATCACCACCATCATCATCACCACCATCACCACCATCACCATTACCACCATCCCCACCATAACCATCACAATCACCACCATCACCATCCCCACCATCACCATGACCACCGCCATCACCATCATCATCACCATCACCACCATCATTATCGGCATCACCATCAGAATCATCACAATCATCATCACCATCATCATCACCATCACCAGCATCATCTTCATCATCACCATGACCACCATCACGATCATCACCATCATCATCACCATCATCATCATCACGATCATCACCATCACGACCATCACCATCACCATCCCCACCATCACCATCATCACCATCACCATCACCACCATCACCACCATCACCATCACCACCATTACCACCATCACCACCATCACCACCATCACCATCATCATCACCACCATCACCATCCCCACCAACACAATCACCAATCCCACCATCACCATCCCCACCATCACCATCACCACCATCATCACCATCATCACCATCACCATCACCACCATCACCATCACCACCATCACCGCCATCACCACCATCACCACCATCACTATCATCATCATCATCACCACCATCACCATTCCCACCATCACCATCACCATCCCCACCATCACCATCACCACCATCACCATCAGCACCATCATTATCAGCATCACCATCAGAATCATCACAATCATCATCACCATCATCACCAGCATCACCATCATCATCATCACCATCATCATCATCATCACCATCACCATCACTATCACCACCATCATCATCAACATCATCATTATCATCATCACCATCATCATCACCATCATCATCATCACCATCACTATCACCACCATCATCATCACCATCAACAGCATCATCATCACCATCATCATCACCATCATTATCACCATCATCATCATCAGAATCATCACCATCATCATCATCACCATCATCAGCATCACCATCAGAATCATCATCACCATCAGCATCACCATCAGAATCATCACAATCATCATCACCATCATCATCACCATCACCATCATCATCACCACCATCATCACCATCATCACCATCATCATCAGCATCACCATCAAAATCATCACAATGATCATAACGATCACCATCACCACCATCATCACCACCATCATCACCATCACTATCATCACCATCATCATCACCATCATGATCACGATCATCACCATCACCACCATCACATCACCATCCCCACCATCATCACCATTGCCATCACCACCATCACCACCATCACCACCATCATCATCACCACCATCCCCACCATCACCATCACCATCCCCACCATCACCATCCCCACCATCACCACCACCATCATCATCACCATCATCACCACCACCATCACCACCATGATCACCATCATCACCATCACCACCATCACCATCACCACCATCACCAACATCACCATCACCACCAGCACCACCATCACCATCATCACCATCACCATCACCACCATCACAACCATCACCATCATCATCACCACCACCACCATCCCACTATCACCATCACAATCCCCACCATCACCATCAGAATCCCCACCATCACCATCCCCACCATCACCATCACCACCACCATCATCATCACCATCATCATCACCATCACCACCATCATTATCAGCATCACCATCAGAATCATCACAATCATCATAACCATCATCATCACCATCACCAGCATCACCATCATCATCACCATCATCACCACCATCATCACCATCACCACCATCACCATCCCCACCATCATCACCATTGCCATCACCACCATCACCACCATCACCACCATCTCCATCACCATCATCACCATCACCATCACCACCATCACCACCATCACCATCATCATCACCACCATCACCATCCCCACCATCACCATCCTCACCATCACCATCCCCACCATCACCACCACCATCATCACCATCATCACCACCATCATCACCACCATGATCACATTCATCACCATCACCACCATCACCATCACCACCATCACCACCATCACCATCACCACCAGCACCACCATCACCATCATCACCATCACCATCACCACCATCACAACCATCACCATCATCATCACCACCACCACCATCCCCACCATCACAGTCCCCACCATCACCATCCCCACCATCACCATCACCACCACCATCATCATCACCATCATCATCACCATCACCACCATCATTATCAGCATCACCATCAGAATCATCACAATCATCATCACCATCATCATCACCATCACCAGCATCACCATCATCATCAACACCATCATCACCACCATCATCACCATCACGATCATCACCATCACCACCATCACCATCCCCACCATCACCATCATCACCATTGCCATAACCACCATCACCACCATCACCACCATCTCCATCACCATCATCACCATCACCACCATCACCACCATCACCATCATCATCACCACCGTCACCATCCCCACCATAACCATCCCCACCATCACCATCCCCACCATCACCACCACCATCATCACCATCATCACCACCACCATCACCACCATGATCACCATCATCACCATCACCACCATCACCATCTCCACCATCACCACCATCACCATCACCACCAGTACCACCATCATCACCATCACCATCACCACCATCACAACCATCACCATCATCATCACCACCACCACCATCCCCACCATCACAATCCCCACCATCACCATCCCCACCATCATTATCACCACCACCATCATCATCACCATCATCATCACCATCACCACCATCATTATCAGCATCACCATCAGAATCATCACAATCATCATCACCATCACCAGCATCACCATCATCATCACCATCATCATCACCATCATCACCATCATCATCACCATCATTATCATCACCATCATCATCACCATCATCATCACCATCATCATCATCACCATCATCACCATCATCACTATCACTATCACCACCATCATCATCACCATCATCAGCATCATCAGCATCATCATCACCATCATCATCATCACCATCATTATCACCATCATTATCAGAATCATCACCATAATCATCATCATCATCACCATCATCATCATCACCATCATCATCAGCATCACCATAAGAATCATCATCACCATCATCATCAGCATCACCATCAGAATCATCACAATCTTCATTACCATCATCATCATCAACATCATCACCATCATCATCACCACCATCATCACCAACATCACCTCATCATCACCATCAAAATCATCACAATGATGATCACCATCACCATCATCACCATCATCATCATCACCATCGTCATCACCATCATCAGAATAATCACCATCATCATCATCCCCATCATCACCATCATCACCATCACTATCACCACCATCATCATCACCATCATCAGCATCATCATCACCATCATCATCATCACCATCATTATCACCATCATCATCAGAATCATCACCATCATCATCACCGTCATCATCATCAGCATCATCATCATCATCCCCATCAGAATCATCATCACCATCATCATCAGCATCACCATCAGAATCATCACAATGATCATAACCATCACCATCACCACCATCATCACCACCATCATCACCATCATCACCATCACCATCATCACCATCATCATCACGATCATCACCATCACCACCATCACCACCATCACCATCACCATCCCCACCATCACCATCATCACCATTACCATCACCACCATCACCACCATCACCACCATCACCATCCCCACCATCACCATCACCACCATCATCATCACCATCATCACCACCACCATCACCACCATTATCACCATCATCACCATCACCATAACCACCATCACCATCATCATCACAATCATCATCACCATCATCATCATCACCATCATCACCATCATCATCACCACCATCATCACCATCATCATCATCACCATCAGAATCATCACAATGATCATCACCATCATCACCATCATCATCACCATCATCATCACCATCATCAGAATAATCACCATCATCATCATCCCCATCATCACCATCATCACCATCATCATCATCACCATCATCAGCATCATCATCACCATCATCATCACCATCATCATCACCATCTCTCCATCTGTCTGTGTGTCTCTGTGTGTGTCTGTGTGTGTGTGTCTCTGTGCATGTCTCTCTGTCTGTGTGTGTCTGTGTGTGTGTCTGTGTGTGTCTCTGTGTGTGTCTCTGTGCATGTCTCTCTGTCTGTGTGTCTCTGTGTGTGTCTGTGTCTGTGTGTGTCATTGTGTGTGTCTCTTCGTGTGTGTGTGTCTCTCTGTGTGTCTCTGTGTGTTTGTGTCTTTCTCTGTGTGTGTCTCTCTCTCTGTCTCTGTGTGTGTGTCTCTCTCTCTGTCTGTGTGTGTGTCTCTGTGTGTGTCTCTGTGTGTTTGTCTCTGTCTGTGTGTCTGTGTGTGTGTCTCTGTGTGTGTGTCTGTCTGTGTTTCTGTGTGTGTGTCTCTGTGTGTGTGTGCATTTTTGCGTCTGTGTCTGTGTGTGTGTGTATGTTTCTGTGTGTGTCTCTGTGTGTCTGTGTGTGTGTGTGTCTCTGTGTGTGTGTATGTTTCTGTGTGTGTCTCTGTATGTCTGTGTCTCTGTGTATGTCTCTGTGTGTGTCTTTGTGTGTCTATGTCTCTATGTGTGTCTGTCTGTGTTTCGGCGTGTGTGTGACTCTGTGTGTGTTTCTGTGTGTGTGTCTCTGCGTGTCTGTGTCTCTGTGTGTGTCTCTGTGTGTGTATGTGTCTGTGTGTGTTTCTGTGTGTGTGTCTCTGTGTGTGTCTCTCTGTGTGTCTGTGTGTGTGTCTGTATGTGTCTCTGTATCTTTGTGTCTCTGTTTGCGTCTCTGTGTGTGTCTCCGTGTGTGTCCTTGTGTGTGTCTGTGTCTCTGTGTGTGTCTGTGTCTCTGTGTGTGTCTCTGTGTGTGTCTGTGTGTGTCTCTGTGTGTATCTCTGTGTGTGTCTCTGTGTGTGTCTGTGTGTGTCTCTGTGTGTATCTCTGTGTGTGTCTGTGTGTGTCTCTGTGTGTGTCTCTGTGTGTGTATCTGTCTCTGTTTGCGTCTCCGTGTGTGTGTCTGTGTTTGTCTCTGTGTGTGTCTGTCTCTCTGTCTCTGTGTGTCTCTGTGTGCGTCTGTGTGTCTTCCTTTTTGCCACTAAGCCACGTATAAAATATCTAACTAATAAGCTTGTGCCGGAGGCCCCGGGGGGCCAGGCGTTTATGACGTCTCCTGGCCAAACCCCAATTGGCGGAGCCAGGAGATTGAATCTCTACCCTCGGGGCTCCTCCAGAAACAACAAAAAGCCACTACGGGTGGCCACGTGGAATGTTCGAACGCTCACTGCGGAGGAGAGGCTGCCATTCCTCTGTCAGGAGCTGGACCGGTACCGCCTGGACCTCTGTGGCATTCAGGAGGTCCGGTGGACCGGCTCTGGCTCCTGCCACCATGAGGGGTGGACAGTCCTCTACTCGGGGCAGGAGACTGCCAAACAACAGGGTGTGGCTCTTCTTCTGAACAAAAGAATGAAGGGCGCGTGGGAGCGTGGCTGTGAGGTGTGGGAAGCTATAAGCTCCAGGCTACTTTGGGCTCGCCTTCCCATCAACCGGAGGCGAAGAGTGGTGGTCGTGGTTACTTATGCCCCCATGGAAGACGAACATCCATGGAGGGATGCAGGCAAGGCCGATGAGTCAGATGCCTTCTATGACCTCCTGTCACAGGTGCTGGCTAAAGTGGCCCCTCGGGATAGAGTCATCTTGTTGGGTGACTTCAATGGCCGAATTGGTCATGATGCTGGCACCTGGTCTGGAGTGATTGGATGGCATGGGCCAGATCAGCTCAATAACAACGGCAGGAGGCTGCTAGATTTTTGTGCAGCCCATGGGCTTGTGATTACAAACACGCAGTTCCTGCATCATGGATGCATGCCGGGTCCAAGCAAGAACATCTGTTGGACTACAAAGTGACGGACCAGCGGATGCGAGCCCATGTCCTTGACACCAGGACTACCGTGTAGCTGATCTGCCCTCTGACCATCGACTAGTCATCTGTAAGATGCGCCTGCCATTCATCCACTCCGGTGGTGGGTGTACACCCAGGACCCCATTCCAACCTAAGGTGGCCCGGTCTCAGCTAGCTGATGAAAGTTGCAAGCGAGAATTTCATCATCGCTTGCGGCTGGGGTTGGCATCGTCCCCCACTCCTCCTGATGTCGAGGGTAAATGGGCGCGAGGTTTAGGACTGTGACTCATGCAGCTGCAATGGCTGCTTTGGGTACGCGGTCCAGACCTCCCTAGAGACCCTGGCTGACAGAGTAGGTGTTCAGGCTGGCTGAGAAAAAGCGACAGGCCCACTGTCATCGGCTACAGCATCCCACGTCAGAGAATGAGGAGGCTTACCGCAGCCTTCGCTCGGAGGTGCGGAGAGCCGTGAGGTGCTGCAAGGATGGGTGGTGGTCGCGGGTTGCTGAGGAGATGGAGTCTGCCTCAATGGCTCGTGATCACTAATCACTCTTTAACTCCATCAAAAAATAACTAACCTGCAGCGACACACCTATTACCATCATTAGGGGAATGGTGATCCAATCTCTGACCCCCAGGAACAGGTTTGCAGATTTGTTGAGCATTTCTGTGATGTCCTGCGGGAGGGGAAATCCCTCAGCCTGGAAAACATCGTGGCACAAAGTGAGGATGACCCTGTTGAGGCTGCAGTGCCTCAAATTTTTAAAAGTCACCCCGTGTGAGTGGCTGGCTGAGGAAGTACTGAAGGCGATCCAGAGTCTGCCTGGGTATTTTGTACCATCGGACACTCCACCCCCACAACTCCCAATCGTTGATGGGGCAGTTGTGGAGAGAGTGGAGAGTTTCCGATACCTGGGCAGTGTGCTTATGACTGGCTCCGGTTTAACAGCAGAGGTCTCACTCCGAATCAGTCATCTTTTCATCGGTTGCGTAACGATGTGTGGAAGCTACCTGGTCTGTCGCTCCGCACTAAGCTTCAGGTCTTCTCGGCCACGGTCATTCCCTCCCTTCTCTATGCCTGCGAAACGTGGACCCCCCTGATGGAACATCTTCGCCGGTAATACAAATTTAGGCTGGCCTGCCTACGATACATCCTGGGTTTAACCAGGCTGGATTGTGTGAGTAGCTCACAAATCCTTGAAAGATCTGGGCAGGGTCCCATTGGTGAGCTCCTCCGGCAGGCAAGGCTGTGTTGGCTGGGTCATGTAGCCCGCATGCCCAGCCACCGCATGGAGAAACAGCTTTTGTTCGGCCGGATCGAGGGGGCTAAACGGGCGCGGCACGGGCTAGAGAAGAGATGGAGTGATGTGGTACAGGAGGACGTGGAGCTGAGTGGACTTGCCAATGACTGGTACCAGCGGTGTCAAGATCGGCCTCTGTGGAGGAGGCTCTTGCAGGATGCTACTGGGCAGTTAGAGGCAGTCGCCCTCCAACAACAACAACAACGGAGGGCGGAGGAGCGACGCTCACAACAACGAGCGGAGCGCCGGGTGGCTAAAGCACAGCAGATTGGCACAGTAGGGGGCACAGATGGTGCATCAGCCAGTCATCTCAGTCAGTCGACCCGTGGCACCTGGGTCTGCCCCGTGACCTCCTGCCAGCGGGCGTTCAACATGATGGTGGTGGTTGTGGTGTTGATGATGGTGGTAGTGGTGGTGATGGTGATGATGATGGTGATGGTGGTGATTGTGGTGATGGTGGTGGTGATGGTTGTGTTGATGATGGTGGTGGTGATAGTGATGATGGTGATGATGGTGGTGGTTGTGTTGATGATGGTGGTGGTTGTGGTGATGATGGTGGTGATGATGGTGATGAAAATGGTGATGATGATGGCGGTGATGGTGATGATGATGGTGATGGTGGTGGTGGTTGTGGAGATGGTGGTGGTGGTGGTGGTGGTTGTGTTGATGATGGTGGTTATGATGGTGGTGATGATGATGGTGATGATGATGGCGGTGATGGTGGTGGTGGTGGTGGTGATGGTGATGAAGATGGTGATGATGATGGCGGTGATGATGGTGATGATGATGATGGTGATGATGGCGGTGATCATGATGATGATGGTGATGATGATGATGGTGGTGGTGGTGGTGGTGGTTGTGTTGATGATGGTGGTGGTGGTGGTGGTTGTGTTGATGATGATGGCGGTGATGGTGATGATGATGGTGATGATGATGGCGGTGATCATGATGATGATGGTGATGATGACACTGATGATGATGACACTCATGGTGATGGTGATGATGGTGATGATGCTGATGATGACACTCATGATGACACTGATGATGATGGTGATGATGATGGTGATGGTGATGATGATGATGATGATGATGACACTCATGATGATGATGATGACACTCATGATGATGATGATGATGACACTCATGATGATGATGACACTCATGATGATGATGATGGTGATGATGATGATGATGACACTCATGATGATGATGATGACACTCATGATGATGATGATGACACTCATGATGATGATGATGATGACACTCATGACGATGATGATGATGACACTCATGATGATGATGATGCTGACACTGATGATGATGATGACACTCATGATGATGATGATGATGGCACTCATGATGATGATGATGATGCTGACACTCATGATGATGATGATGACACTCATGATGATGATGATGATGCTGACACTGATGATGATGATGATGGTGACTCCCTCTGGCAGCGGCCAGTGCCCAGCAGCAGCCGCTGCCCGTGGAGGAGCTGCAGGGCCCGGGGCCCCTAAACGAGGGGGTCAGCTCGCCGGCGAAGGAGAGCGCGGAGCCCCAGGGGCAGTATCCCTACCTGGAGGTGCCCTCCTCCCAGTGGCCCTTCTACCCCGTGCTGCCGCAGTTCGAAAGTGAGTCATCATCATCGTCATCATCATGGGTGTCATCATCATCATCATGAGTGTCATCATCATCATGAGTGTCATCATCATCATCATCATGAGTGTCATCATCATCATCATGAGTGTCGTCATCATCATCATCATGAGTGTCATCATCATCATCATGAGTGTCATCATCATCATCATCATGAGTGTCATCATCGTCGTCATGAGTGTCATCATCATCATCATCATGAGTGTCATCATCATCATCGTCATAAGTGTCATCATCATCGTCATCATGAGTGTCATCATCATCATCATCATCGTCATGAGTGTCATCATCATTAGTGTCATCATCATCATCATGAGTGTCATCATCATCATCATCATCATGAGTGTCATCATCATCATCATGAGTGTCATCGTCATCATCATCATGAGTGTCATCATCATCATGAGTGTCATCATCATCATGAGTGTCATCATCATCGTCATGAGTGTCATCATCATCGTCATGAGTGTCATCATCATCATCATCATGAGTGTCACCATCATCATCATGAGTGTCATCATCATCATCATGAGTGTCATCATCATCATCATGAGTGTCATCATCATCATCATGAGTGTCATCATCGTCATGAGTGTCATCATCATCATCATCATGAGTGTCATCATCATGATCATGAGTGTCATCATCATCATCATCATGAGTGTCATCATCATCATGAGTGTCATCATCATCATCGTCATGAGTGTCATCATCATCATCATCATGAGTGTCATCATCATCATCATCATGAGTGTCATCATCATCATCATCATGACTGTCATCATCATCATCATGAGTGTCATCATCATCATCATGAGTGTCATCATCGTCATCTTCATGAGTGCCATCATCATCGTCATCATGAGTGTCATCATCATCATCATCGTCACCATGAGTGTCATCATCATCATCATCATCATGAGTGTCATCATCATCATAAGTGTCATCATCATCACCATCATCATCATCATGAGTGTCATCATCATCATCATCATGAGTGTCATCATCATCATCATGAGTGTCATCATCATGAGTGTCATCATCATCATCATGAGTGTCATCGTCATAATCACGAGTGTCATCATCATCATCATCATGAGAGTCATCATCATCATCATCATGAGAGTCATCATCATCATCATGAGTGTCATCATCATCATCATGAGTGTCATCATCATCATCATCATGAGTGTCATCATCATCATGAGAGTCATCATCATCATCATCATGAGTGTCATCATCATCATCATGAGTGTCATCATCATCATCATGAGTGTCATCATCATCATCATGAGTGTCATCATCATCATGAGTGTCATCATCATCATCATCATGAGTGTCATCATCATCATGAGTGTCATCATCATCATCATCATGAGTGTCATCATCATCATGAGTGTCATCATCATCATCATGAGTGTCATCATCATCATCATGAGTGTCATCATCATTGTCATGAGTGTCATCATCATCATCGTCATGAGTGTCATCATCATCATCATCATGAGTGTCATCATCATCATGAGTGTCATCGTCATCATCATCATCATCATGAGTGTCATCATCATCATCGTCATAAGTGTCATCATCATCGTCATCATGAGTGTCATCATCATCGTCATGAGTGTCATCATCATCATCATGAGTGTCATCATCATCATCATGAGTGTCATCATCATCATCATCATGAGTGTCATCATCATCATCATGAGTGTCATCATCATCATCATGAGTGTCATCATCATCATCGTCATAAGTGTCATCATCATCGTCATCATGAGTGTCATCATCATCGTCATGAGTGTCATCATCATCATCATGAGTGTCCATCATCATCATGAGTGTCATCATCATCATCATCATGAGTGTCATCATCATCATCATGAGTGTCATCATCATCATCATGAGTGTCATCATCATCATCATGAGTGTCATCATCATCACCATCATCATCATGAGTGTCATCATCATCATCACGAGTGTCGTCATCATCATCATGAGTGTCATCATCATCATCATGAGTGTCATCATCATCATCATGAGTGTCATCATGAGTGTCATCATCATCATCGTCGTCGTGAGTGTCATCATCATCATCATCATGAGTGTCATCATCATCATCGTCATGAGTGTCATCATCATCATGAGTGTCATCATCATCATCATGAGTGTCATCATCATCATCATCATGAGTGTCATCATCATCATCATGAGTGTCATCATCATCATGAGTGTCATCAT